CTTTCCCATTCACTTTGTAAGGTTGCTCTGAACCCAAAAGTCCCCAGTTTCTGGAGGGACCAGGCAGAGAGAGAAAAGAAAAATGCTTGAATTTTACCCACAGGTGTAGTTTACCAAATTGCTATAAATCATAACCAACTTGAGGGGAAGGGCTTCCCCATATCTGCAAAACCCAGATCAAAACCAGTAACATTCCAGACAAAACCCATAAACATTATTACCATACTCACCAGTTCACTCAGTAACCAATCCTTCTGTTAAATTTTTATGAAGCCATTAATTCTTCCATTAGCATTCTTTAAGTCCTTACCCAGTTCAGCAGTGTGATCTGAAATTTATCAAAGACCTGTTACGGTCAAAAAGTCCTTCCTATGAATCTTTTTTTTTTTTAACATCTTTATTGGAGTATAATTGCTTTACAATGGTATGAATCTTCTTGAAGATGAAGCATTTTTGCCAAAACATTAGAGTACAACAATAACTGTCTACAAATGACAAAAGACTTAAAAGGCACAGTTAAACACCTAATCACAATGTAATCAATAAAGAAACTTGGTTACAGGAATTATGACTGATTATAACCTTAACCCTTGAAAACCTTAATCTCTGGCAAAAACCAAGAAGCAAGTATTTGTGCACTTCCTGATTGGAAAACTTAATGCTTGACTCTTCCTCTTCTAAGCAGGCAAAGGTAGATTAACTTAGACTTGCCCAGCAATTAATATTTTATCCTATTTGAAATGACCCATGAATTCTCTTCCTTCAACTTTATTTTCAAGTTACCAAAATCTAGAGAGACTACTTTAAATAGACATTCCCAAAACATAATTATTTCTATAGAGTTTACCTAAAAGCTATTTTTTCTCCTTTACTCTTAGAGATCACATAAGATTAAAGTTCCAGAGAGCCCACGTAGATCATATATATCTCAAAGGCACAGAGAAATACCAATTCCTTCTAGAAAGATAGCTTAGCTCATTTGATACAATAGCAGAGCCGTTGGAGGCCATTATTCTGCAGATCTCTTGGGAGCCCCCATTCAGCAAGGACAGCAACCTCAGGATCACCCCTGCAACTTTCGGGCCCCACACGCTGGTGGACGGCCCCTGCAACTTTCCATTCCCCATCCTGTATTTTCTGACATCTTGGCGCTCATGGGAGTTTCCTCAGTCTCCTGGCTGGCTCCACTAATTATTGGGCTGCACCCTGCAGGCCTACAATGCCTGTGCTTGTCCAGCTTCAAGACTGAAGAAAGAGCCCAGGGTCAGCAACAGACACATCAATGGTTTAATGGATGTGGGAACTTACACGTCTGAAGCAAGGTCCTGGAGCAACACCCCACCCCTGTGCGGTGGACAGCGGCAGGACATGGTGGCAGTCTTCGCTCCAGAATTAGACTTCTAAAGAATTACTTTCACAGACATTGCAACTCAAGTCCAGGGATCTTACAAAACCAATTTATTAGAAGCAACATTTACAAGGATAACTGTTTGGTACAGAGTTGTATCTGATTTAATGTAGTCAGAAAGAAAGAACATTTTTTTCCCTTATTTTGCTGATATATTTTATTTCGCTGAAGTTAGAAGAGCCTACGGTTTCAAGGCAAGAGGCTGGAATTCCATGAGGAAACACAGATAGGAGAAAGACAGGCAGAAAAATTCACAACTTGCAATATGGAGGAAATCAGTAGACTAGGATTACTAATATGTGGAATATTAGTCATGTAATATTTAAATTTCCATTTGTTATACAAATATTTTATTGTTATTTTTTAGATTAGAAACATTTTTTAAATGTTTTGTATAAACAGAAAAATAAGTCATTGTATTAGCATTATTAAGTGATAACATTGATGTTCAAAGAATAATTTTGTGACTATATTCGTCTGCTCAGGCTGCAATAACAAAATACCACAGACTGGGTGGCTTAAACACAGAAATTTATTTCACATAGTTCTAGATGCTGGGAAGTCCAAAATCATGGTGTCAGTAGGATTGTTTCATTCTGAGGCTTCTTCTCTTGGCTTGGAGGTAGCCGCCATCTCTCTCTGTGCTCACATGACCTTTTGTTTATGTGTGCACAGAGAGAGGGACAGAGAGAGCTCTTGGGTGTCTCTTCTCATAAGGACTCTAATCCTATGAGATCAAGGCCCAATCTTATGACTTCATTTAGCTGTAACTACTTCCTTACAAATCTACAAAAACAGCCACACTAAACGTTAGGGCTTTAACCTATGAATTTCAGGGGGACACAAACTTTCAGTCCATAACAGTAGCCCACCAAAATATAAAAGTAAAGGGGAAAAATACAGTTCAAGAATGTACTTGACTTAAAATTTAAGTTGATATGTTATAGAACAATACGTAGAGCTGAGTTGAGAAGTTGATCTGTAAAGGCTGTAACTTTCCTAGCTCTGTTTACTTAATGGCCTATGTGTATCTTTAGAACCAGATTTTGGTTTCTAATGCTATCTCTCACTGAAAGCCAGAGAAAACGGCTTTATTTTTGTTTTCTAAAGGCCTACAATTTCTCAGTAAAGTGACAATTAATGCTTACTATCACAATTAAAGCTTGATGTGGGTTATTCTGAGGGCAAAAAAAAAAATGGAGATTACAGTTGTTGTTTTTTTTTTTTTTTGCGTTACACGGGCCTCTCACTGCTGTGGCCTCTCCCGTTGCGGAGCACAGGCTCCGGACGCGCAGGCTCTGCGGCCATGGCTCACGGGCCCAGCCGCTCCGCGGCATGTGGGATCTTCCCGGATCGGGGCACGAACCCGCGTCCCCTGCATCGGCAGGCGGACTCTCAACCACTGCACCACCAGGGAAGCCCGAGATTACAGTTTTAAAGGAGTAAATAATTTTATCGGTGCTCTCTGTTCTGTCAAAATTATTAAGGCCCACTTGGTCACAGTTTGAATTATCTTGGGAATCTCCCAAGTCCTGGATCAATATAGCAAAGAGAAATGTCAAGAATTCAGGAACCAAAAATTCTGCTTCTGGTATGGCCAAGGTAGTTTCTACCAGGCCACCCTTCTGCAGATAAATATAAACCCTGGACAAATTTTAAAAAACAAAGAATTGCACTGTGGAGGTCCAGACTTAGAATGGCCACAGGACGAGTGTATTGTTTTTATGGTTTTTAACCGCAGGGTGGGTCATAGTCTGTGCTGTGCAGGGTGGTTAAATCTCCTTCAGAAAACCACTATCATTCTGGGTGGAAGAATTGGGGACAGAGTTTGGGACAATAGCTGCTGAAAGGAGGTAGGGGAGGAATCCCTGAAAGGAGAGAGCCAGAGAGGGAAAGTTCCAAATTCTGTGTGTCAGCTCTGCCCAAATCTCTAGCTGACCTATGAACAGAAAAGAGAAGTTTCTCCCAATACCAAGCGGATTGTCACTTATGGACATTTACATAGTAATCGCTTCATCTTGTTTTGGTTTGGAATTCTTCCTAAACGTCACGGTGCCACAGAATATGTAGCTGTTGATTTGCTCTGGATGCCAGACAGACAAGAAAGTTGTGTAAGATAGCTGGCTCAACTGTCTTTGGATGGATCCCAAACACGATGTTCCTTTCCAGGCCAGAGAATCTTCGGACACTGTCCAACACAATATCACCACCTGACATGTTACTCGCATTGGTGAAGTGCACTACCTTTATCTTCCTCATTGCTCTCAAGAGCTCCTGCTTGTAACACTCCACATCTCTTGTGGTGCTAACAAGCACAGCGATGTCCTTGGGAGAATAGCCCCTTTCAAAGAGAAGCTTGCAAGTGTCTGCCACATGTGTGGCTATTTTATTCAGAGTCAAGTTTTCCTTAATATTTAAGGTTCCCTGAACAACCTGAGCCCATTCAGCTTCAAGAAGCATCTGCAGGGACTCAAGGGGGATGTTAGGTGGAGGATTTTTTCTGACCTCCTGCAATACATGTTGTAAGTATTCAGCTATTTGATATGCATTGCGGACCACTCTGGTGAGCTCTTCCCTTGGATACTGGGCTGAGAGAGCAGGGAGGCCGCTGCACTCCACGTGGTTGGTCTGAAAGTAGTCTAGAAAGATCCAGAGAATTCCTGGGCAATCCTTGTCTCTCTGAGTGATGGTCTTCGCTTTGCCATACCAGTCCCCATCTTCACTGCGGAAATTCTGAGCTTCATCGATGATGATGTGTTGAATCTTTTTAAAGTCATTTTTCATGAAGGTTTTCCGGGTCACTGCATGGCAGATTTTTTTGTCACTGTAAAAATTAAAAAGACACATTCAGGTTTTCTCTGAGTCAATAAAGGAGGAAAATTACTCTATCATACTCCTATGAACACGATACTGTTGTCACGGATCATTTTACCATCTTACTCTCAAGGAACAAGGTGATTCACGGACTTCCCTGGTGGCGCAGTGGTTAAGAATCCACCTGCCAATACAGGGGACACGGGTTCGATCCCTGGTCCAGGAAGATCCCACGTGCCACGGAGCAACTAAGCCCGTGCGCCACAACTACTAAGCCCGCGTGCTGCAACTACTGAAGCCTGGGCACCCTAGAGCCTGAGCGACACAACAAGAGAAGCCACAGCAAGGAGAAGCCCGAGCACCTCAACGAAGAGTAGCCCCCACTGGCTGCAACTAGAGAAAGCCTGTGTGCAGTAATGAAGACCCAGTGCAGCCAAAAATAAATTAATTAATTAATTGAAAAAAAATTGAAAATAATAATAATTTAAAAAAGGAACAAGGTGATTTGGAGGGAATTTAGACTAAACCTCATTTGCTGACAATAAGGTCCAACTGCTTGGGACTTCCCTGCCCGTCCAGTGGTTAGGACTGGGTGCTTTCTCTGCCGTGGCCCTGGGTTCAATCCCCATAAGCCATGGGGTGTGGCCAAAAAAAAAAAAGATCCAACTGCTTACCTGATAAATTTCCTCAGAGGCTGGTTCTCACAAATGTAGAGAATTTCATTTGCCTCACAGTGAAACGTATTCCTGATCTTCTCCGTGATCTTCACAGCCATGACTGTCTTCCCTGAGCCAGGTAAGCCATGGATAAACAACTCTTTGTTCTTGCGGAGGTTTTTTGAGAAGATCTTATACTGCTTGGCTGTGAGCAGATTTAAAACCTCACAGCCAAGCTGGTCACTCAAGAAAGATCTGAAGCCAAGCAAGACAATCACGAGGGACTGCAACAAAGCTTCCATTTGCTGAGTGCTTGCAAAGTAATAGGACCTGGGGTAATCAATCAGGGATGCTGCACCCTCTGAGGACTCTGCATTGCTCTGAGGACTCAGGTGGAGGACCTTGGTAATGACGCACACATTTCCAGAGTAGCCCCCCATGTTCACCAGCTTCTGCTTCAGAGTGAAGGCGGTGCTGGTGCAATAGGACTGCTCATCTGCATCCTGCTCCCTGAGAATGGTGTAGAGAATGGGGGGACTGTTCCATGCTATCAGCAGAGCATCACAGATGACTGCTTGCTTCTCTTGCAAGTTCAGGTCCACAGCCCAGCTTCTAGAAAGGATTAAAATTCCCTGGGAGAATGGATATATTTGCATATTTATTAATTCCTCCAAACCTTCATTCTGTGAAGACAGCTCCTTCCAGAGGGATTTGGGAGTATATTGCAGACATCCTGGTAGCACTAGATATGGAAAGAATTATAAATTTAGTGGCAAAAATCACATTTATTTTAATGATTAATTGTAATTAATCAAAATTACTACACTTACACTTAATTATAATTAATTTTATTAATTATGATGTTACTTATTTTTGTATACATTCTTTTGCCAATATTATTATATTACAGTGAAGGAAAAGAAGCCTTGAAAAGTCTGACACACTTCATCTAAGCCTATGTGCTTATTACGTTTATGACCTTGGGAAATTCCTTAACCTAAGACTCTGTTCCCTCATCTGTAAAACAAACAAAAATCCACATGTACAAAAATAGCACATCTCTTATGGTGAGGAATAAATGAAATAGCATAAAGGTATCTGCTCATTGTAGCTGCTTGAGAAATGTTAGTTCTCTTTCCCTTCCTACTTTAAAGCCCCTGAATCTCAAAATGTCCCTTAACAGTCCCCATTGATGGAGGTAGGAAGAGCCCTCCCAGGAAGAAGGTGCTCATTAAATATCTGTGGAGAAGATGGAGCTATGAAAACTTTACTAGGAGGGATCTCTGTGCAGCCCTCCACTGGGAGATCCTAAGATTAGACTCTGAGATAACTCTCCTTAGGCATAACTCACTTACAGATCTATGTAATAATGCATCTATCACAAGAGTCTACCCTTTGTCATGAAGGAGCAAGGAACAATGTTGTGACATGAGAATAAACTTGTGCTGTAGGGTTTTAAACTTATGTCAATGATCATTTGTTCCAAAGGGAGGGAAAAAATGAAGAGATTGTTGTCATCCTATTGTGGTGGTGTCAGATCACCTACCAGAATCTGGATCCGTAGGGTTAATTTCCAGTGAAATTACCCATATTTCATTGGTAGTTGTTTATTGTTCCTTGTGGTGGTGCTCTCTCACTTGTACCAGGTGTTTGCACAACTTGATTTTGCCTGCAACCTGGATAATGGTGAGTAGGAGATGGACTCTATTATGGGACATATCCAGATTTTGGAGATGTTAAAAGGCTGGGGGAAACATGCATCTTGGGATGGATGGAATAGGGTAATATAAGGATATGTTTAAAATGCAGCTTTAGAAAACAAAGGAAGTATAAAATAAGAAAAGTATAAAATAAGAAAACACATCATTTGTACCAGGGAGTGTGCACACATCTATGGTTCTCACAATTCTGCAAGGCAGATATACTTACTGTTCTCTTTTTCAGATGAGTAAATGGAACTCAAACCGGTCAGGTGCCTTGCCCATGGTCACACCACTGGGAAATGGCAGAGCCAGAGTCTGGACCCAGTGCTGTCTCAGACACCAGACCCTCTCTTGTCTCTACTGTGGCCTTGCAAGCCACACAGACTACCCCTGCCTGCTAAATGGATAATGTCACTAAAGCATTTGATGTTCATAGCAAATATGTTTTGCCTCATCGTCAAATAGGTCTTATTTTTCTTTAATTATATAATGGGACATGCTTCCTAAGGAAATTATGTGAAGACAAGAAGTGTCCCTTTCATTTCTTGGATATTCCACATGGCACTTAACCAATTATAGGGGCCAGACTAGGTGTCAATAAATATCCACCACTCCACGTGCACCAGAGTAGTTACCACTCTCCATGTGAACTGGGGCCTCTGTGCCTTTGTGTAGGTGTGCCTGAGACTCGAATGCCCTCTTCTACTTTTGCCACCTGATAAATTCCTCTCATTTCTTCTAGAACTCCCATGTTTGTTCTCTCCTCAGAGTTCCCCAGAACTTTGTATCCATACTAGGCACTAATCTCTTCATGGATCTAGGGAAATCTTTTTGTGTGTGTGTGTATGTGGTTTTTTAAAAAATATTTTATATTGGAGTATAGTTATTAACAATGTTGTGTTAGTTTCAGGTGTATGGCAAAGTGATTCAGTTATACATATACATGTATCTATTCTTTTTCAAAATCTTTTCCCATTTAAATTACAGCATATTGAGCAGAGTTCCCTGTGCTATACAGTAGGTGATCTAGGGAAATCTTTAAAAACAGAGCACTGAAGTGTCCAGACTGATGGTTTTCCAACTACAGGAACTCAGGTGAGGGCTTCTAACAGTCTAGGACATCAGGATGAAGGTCTTTGGGGGTTGGTTGAATCTGATCTACTACTCTAACCCCTGACTTTCTCTAGAACCCATCACTCCAGGTATAGACAAAATTTCTTTTTCAGTCATTGCATTTTTTTCAAAAGAAAGATTTACAGTGTTTAATCTGAAGCTAAACTATTGTCAATCAATAGTAATAGTTAATGTAATGAGGACATCCCTATTCTTAGTATTTGGAGTCCAGTTGCAAAACCAAAACCGAACAGATTAGTTACTACTGTGAGAGCTCAGAATCTAATGATAGTGGTCTCTGAAAGTGAAAATTTCCTTCAAAAAATCGTTTTAATTAGGTAATACAGTCCCATAGTCCAAATACCAAAACATTCCTCTTTCTATTCACTCCATTTCCTCCCTTCCCAAGCCCATCCTACTCCTCTAACACAGACCCTTTTTTTTTCAGTTTCTCAGCTAGTCTTCCAAAACTTCTTTGTGCAAATACCAGCAAATATTTCCCCCTTTCTTACACAATAGGTAGCAAACTGTCCAGATATTTCCATATCAGTACATAAAGAACTTCCTTATTTTTTCCCACAGTTGTCTAACATGCCATCTTATGGATGTGACATATGTCCCTATTGATGGGTTCTTGAGTGTTCCCCCTCAACCTTTTGCTATTATGAGAATATTACAATGAGTAACCTTGTGTATTTTGTATTCATGCAGGTATATATAAAGAATAAAGTCCCAGCAGTAGGATTACTGGGTAAAAGGGTAAATGCATTTGTAATTCTGATAGATATTACCAAGCTGTCCTCCAATGGAGTTGTACCAATATGCACTCCTGCCAGTAATGTACGAGAAGGCTTGTTTCCCCATAGCGCAGCATATAGAAGATGTCAGATTTTTTAATTTTTTACCATCCAATAGATAAAAATGATAGCTTGTTTTAATTTGCAAGTCTCTTATTTTGATTAATATTAAGCATCTTTTCAAATGTTTGAAAGCCATTTGAATTGTATTTGCTCTGAACTGACTTTGTTGATTTTTCTTTTTAATTAATTAATTTAATTGTTTCTATTTTTGGCTGTGTTGGGTCTTCCTTACTGTGTGCGGGCTTTCTCTAGTTGTAGAAAGCTGGGGCTTCTCTTCATTGTGTTGCACGGGCTTCTCATTGCGATGGCTTCTCTTGTTGCAGAGCATGGGCTCTAGGTGCACGGGCTTTAGTCGTTGTGGCACGTGGGCTCAGTAGCGCACAGGCTTAGTTGCTCCGCGGCATGTGGCATCTTCCCCGGCCAGGGATCGAACACCTGTCCCCTGCATTAGCAGGCGGATTCTTAAACACTGTGCCACCAGGGAAGCCCCGTTGATTTTTCTTTTAAGTTATTCTTTATCCTTATCAACTTTTGGAAGCTGTTTATATTGATATATTAGAGACATTGGCCCTTTGTTTGTAATATGAGTTGCAAATATTTTTCCTAGCTGGTCAATGGCCCTTTGACTTTCTATTTAGTTGCTTTAGCCATGCACAATGCTTATCTTTTAATGTAATCATATATATCAGTCTACTTTCACGGCTTTTGGATTTTGAATCTTGACTTTTCTAATCCTCATGCCAAAAGTATAAAGGCATTTACAAATGTCTTCTTCTAGAACATTTATGGCTTTAATTTTTTAAAATTCTTGATCGATTTAGAGCTTATGTTGGTATATGTCATAAAGCGTGAATCCATCTGTTTAAAAATAAATTGCCATCCAGTTTTCCCAATATCTCTTTATTGAAACATCCTTTCTTCTCCACTTGAAAGGCCAATTCCATCACGAACTAAATTCTGATGTGTTTGCAACTATTTCTGGACCTTCTGTCCTGTACCCTTGATCTAGTTATATGCCAATACAACTCTATTTTTATTTGAGGTTTTATAATGATTTAATATCTGGATAGCCCTTCTTTTTGCTCTTCTTTTTCAGGTTTTTATTTCCTGGCTCTTCTTGCTTGTTTATTTTTCCACTGGAACTTTAGGATAAGATTGCTTAGATTAAGTTAATCTCTTGGGTTTTTTTTAAAATTGATATCTCATTAAGTTTATAAAATAACTTAGAGAAAACTGACAGCTTTCTTCCTTTCAAGAACATGACATGTGTTTCCATTTTATCCTTCTTCTGTGTCCTTCAATATTGTTTAAAATTTTTTCTCAGATAGGTTTATCTTAGATATTTTAAATTTTTGTTGCTATTGAAAATTGGGTATTTTCTTTGATTTGTTTGTTATAGCAGGATACTGAATTTTGCATATTAATTTTGACATATGCTTCATATAATTCTATTAAAACAATTATTTATATTCAATCTGAAATCTTTTATTGTTTATAGTGTTTTTCTTTAGGCTCTCTTGAATATAGTCCTAGCTGCTTCAATTTTTATCCCTCTAATTTCTTTCTCTTATCTAATTGCATTGGCTAATTAATATTGCACAAAAGTTGTAGCAGTGCAATGATGGTTTTTTTCCCAAATTTAATAGAATGCCTCTAATATCTCCCAATTAACATAATGGTCTTTGGGGGATATTGATAGATATAGATATATAGGTATAAGTATGTTAAAGAAGTATCTAGGGCTTCCTTGGTGGCACAGTGGTTAAGAATCCGCCTGCCAATGCAGGGGACACAAGTTCAAGCCCTGGTCCGGGAAGATCCCACATGCCGCAGAGCAACTATGTCCATGCTTAGTTGCCACAACTACTGAGCCCGTGTGCTACAACTACTGAAGCCCGCATGCTTAGAGCCCTTACTCCGCAACAAGAGAAGCCACTGCCATGAGAAGCCTGCGCACTGCAATGAAGAGTACCCCCGCTCGCCACAACTACAGAAAGCCTGTGCGCAGCAATGAAGACCCAACCCAGCCAAAAAGAAATAAATAAAATGAATTTATTAAAAAAATAAAATTTAATTTAAAAAATAACTTTTTAGGAGGTGGGCCTAAATGTAAGACCGGACACTATAAAACTCTTAGAGGAAAACATTGGAAGAACACTCTTTAACATAAATCACAGCAAGATATTTTTTGGTCCACCTCCTAGAGTAATGGAAATAAAAACAAAAATAAACAAATGAGACCTAATGAAACTTCAAAGCTTTTGCACAGCAAAGGAAACCATAAACAAGACGAAAAGACAACCCTCAGAATGGGAGAAAATATTTGCAAATAAATCAACGGACAAAGGATTAATCTCCAAAATATATAAACAGCTCATGCAGCTCAATATTAAAGAAACAAACACCCCAATCCAAAAATGGGCAGAAGAGCTAAATAGACATTTCTCCAAAGAAGACATACAGATGGCCAAGAAGCACATGAAAAGCTGCTCAACATCACTAATTATTGGAGAAATGCAAATGAAAACTACAATGAGGTATCACCTCACACCAGTTAGAACAGGCATCATCAGAAAATCTACAAACAACAAATGCTGGAGAGGGTGTGGAGAAAAGGGAACCCTCTTGCACTGTTGGTGGGAATGTAAACTGATACAGCCACTATGGAGAACAGTATGGAGGTTCCTTAAAAAATTAAAAATAGAATTACCGTACGATCCAGCAATCCCACTACTGGGCATATACCCAGAGGAAACCATAATTCAAAACGACACATGCACCCCGATGTTCACTGCAGCACTATTTACAATAGCCAGGTCATGGGCGCAACCTAAATGCTCATCAACAGATGAATGGATAAAGAAGTTGTGGTACATATATACAATGGAATACTACTCAGCCATAAAAAGGAACGAAATTGAGTCATTTGTTGAGATGTGGATGGATCTAGAGACTGTCATACAGAGTGAAGTAAGTCAGAAAGAGAAAAACGAATATCGTATATTAACACATGTATGTGGAACCTAGAAAAATGGTATAGATGAACCGGTTTGCAGGGCAGAAGTTGAGACACAGATGTAGAGAACAAATGTATGGACACCAAGCGGGGAAAGCCGTGGCGGGGTGGGGATGGTGGTGTGCTGAATTGGGCGATTGGGATTGACATTTATACACTGATGTGTATAAAATTGATGACTAATAAGAACCTACTGAATAAAAAAATAAATAAAATTTAAAAATTAAAAAAAAAACCCAAAACCAAAAAACTAATACTAAACTTTCTTTGGGTTATTTGTATGGAAATATGTTAATATAAATGTTTCAGACATTACATGAAATTCCTAAAACTCTTATATGTTCTGTTATAATGTTATAAGGCATAATTCTAGTTATTACTTTAAAATGTATATCTCAGAAATAACTAAATTTCCTTGTCAATTGCATTATTATGAACTTTCATCAAATAATTAGCTGTGGTCATTTTTAAGTCTTTTGTCATTTACAGACAGTTCTGGGTGTACTCTGATGCTTTTGCAAAAATGTTACTATAAAAGGGTTTCATCTTCGAGGAATTCATGGAAAAGACTCTGACATGTACAGGTTTCTGGTAACTGACTATACTGCTGAACTGAATGAATAAGCATTTTCAGAACTCTAATGGAAAACTGATGAATCCATAAAAGTGCTAACAAAAGATCAAGTTAAAAAAATTAATTACATGGGACTGAGTGAACTGATAAGGATGATTACAATTTTTGTGACTTTGTTTGAATAAAAAAATGTTAAAAAAATAAGTTAAAAAATCTTTAAAGAAAAGTATCGATGGGTTCGTTTTTTTTTTTTTGCGGTACACGGGCCTCTCACTGTTGTGGCCTCTCCCGTTGCGAAGCACAGGCTCCAGACGCACAGGCTCAGCGGCCATGGCTCACGGGCCCAGCCGCTCCGCGGCATGTGGGATCCTCCCGGACCAGGGTACGAACCCGTGTCCCCTGAATTGGCAGGCGGACTCTCAACCACTGCGCCACCAGGGAAGCCCTATGGGTTCGTATTTTATGGAATCTTTTAAAAATCAAAATGTATATTAATATTTTTCAAAACCTTTTCAGTATATTAGAAGACAATCATAAAATTTTTTCTGCATAAATGTATAGAAATGATAGATTATAGTAATAACTCTCTTAATGTTTATCCATCCTTTCGTTCTTGGAGTTCTGTCTTTGTGTCTTCATTCACAAGTAAGATTAGTCTGAATTTTTCTTTTTTATGCTATCTCTGTCAAGTATTGCAAATACTGTTACTCCCATTTAAAAAATAACCTGGGAATTTTCATTCTTTTTCTATGGCTCTGGAAAAGTTTAAATTGTGTTGGAAGTGTTTATTCCTCAAATGTTTGGTACAATTCCTGGAAAATTGATTTTTTTTATACCAGAATAATAGGTTATCACTCTATGAGGATAAAGCCCAGTATTTTGTTTTTAGATATAATTTATTCCATGATAATAAGCTCTACTAAATCAGAGTTTACTGAGTTTAGCGAGTAATTACCAATGCTTATGTTTACTCTTGGATCTAATACTGTTTATTGTGGACAGTTTTTAAAATATAAATTTGATATGCAAGCGAATGCAAAGACCTCAATTAGGTAAGGTGAAAAATAAAATCTTAAATTGAACAGTCATTATTTATTAACTTAATGGCCCTCAATAGATATTTACACATATATAGGACATTTGTGCATCAGATTCTAGAGCCAGATAAGCCATTGATTTACTTCATAGAGTTGATTAAGTCGTTCTTCCTCTCCAGAAGTGTAAAAAGAGGACAACAATGGACTCATAGCTAAAGCCTATCATGGTGGGAGCAAAGGATGAGAGCAGAGGACAGGCATTGTCCTTGGTTCTGAAACGTGATTTCGCGCTTTTACACGATTGTTTCTCCTAAACCCAAAACATGTTCATGGATATTGTAATTGATCTTCATTTTATTTGTTTTGTGTTCCATCTTGATATAAAACTTTATTCTTGTTTCATACAAAACTTTATTCTTGTTTCATATTCTTTTTTTTTTTTTTTTTTTCTTGCGTTATGCGGGCCTCTCACTGTCGTGGCCTCTCCCATTTGCGGAGCACAGGCTCCGGACGCGCAGGCCCAGCGGCCATGGCTCACGGGCCCAGCCGCTCCGCGGCATGTGGGATCCTCCCGAAACGGGGCACGAACCCGCGTCTCCTGCATCGGCAGGCGGACTCTCAAGCACTGCGCCACCAGGGAAGCCCTGTTTCATATTCTTGTTTCATACTTTTCCTGCACTCCTCTGGAAAATTCGGCAGAGGAGGGCAATTGTTTGCTCCTAGTGCAATGTATGCCTCTAGTTCAACTAGATAAAAAGTTTCCAATATGGATGAGTGTCAGAATCCTGTGGAAAAAATACACATTATAAGGTGCTATCCTCAGGTATTTTAATTTACGAAGTCTGGAGTGGGGAGCAGGTATCTGTACTTTTTAAAGTAACCAGAAATACTGATGATCAGTCCTATTTGAGAACTACAAGACTGAAAGGTCTTTAAGGGCAACAGTGTTCCTCGATTCTATATGTGGTATTGCCTCAGCTAATGAGGTCAGTGAGGGTTCATTTCTAAACTACTTATCATCAATATGCTTGTAGCATTATCACCTTGCACACATAGGTTTTGCAGAGCGTACTTTCAGGACCTTAAATAACAAACATAACAGTTTATCTCCCCTTATCCTAACATAGAAACTGGCTGGTGTCAAGTAGGCAAACCATAGTTACTACCTGGAAATAAGAGTTGCTGGAGATCCTTCTTATGTTCCAGGCCTTTCTTGGAGTACACTGGTCTGCTAAGAGGAGGCCCGCTAGACAGACTCAGCTGAGATTCAAAGTCTTTGCACAACCATGTAAAATCTTAACAAAGAAGGGAAATTCATGTTATTCTGACATGTTACTTCATCTCTTCACCACTGAAAAAGACCTTATGAGTGGGTGTATTATATGACTGTCTAGGTATGACTTGAGACATAATGGCAAGATAACACCCCATTCATCCTGTATGGACAAGTGCCTTCACTGCATATGAAAGTTGCCAAATCCATCATAAAAGAGATGTTATTCGGAAGTTTGAATGTGTTTCCCATTCAATATGTCTTCACCCTCTGTTTCTGGATATCATTTTGTTTGAATTTCTTTTATGGTACATAGCACATTCTTTTAGTACACCTATCTATGCATATATCTGTGGTGTAAATATTCCCACCATGGACAATTTTAAGCTACCAATATGATGTCACTAAATGCAGAGTTGGGAAGACATGCACCGTAATACACCATTTTATAGTATTTCCATCATACAGATACAGTAGATGTAAATAACCTCATGCATATAGATAATCTTAAAATGTAGTAAATCATTAGGTTTTGTATTTATTAAATTTGTTTTAAGTACAATTTATTGAACTGTAAGTTTATAAAACTTAATTTTTAGTAATGACTGTTTAACAACTGGCTCAAAACATTCCTGAAAAGTTAACAAATGGCTCTTGAGCCAGTAAGAGCCAGTTCCAATACACCACTGCAAGGCAATCATCCCCAGACAATTTTCTTTCATCTGATGTGGGAAATTGCCTTTTATAAGATACTTCATTTGGGCTTCTCATCACCCAACAAAATTCTCTCATGTATGGAAAGTAGGGTAGTTGAAGATTCAAAAAACACACAATTTAGTGTGTGTGAGAAGTTCAAAGTCATAGGAAACAGAGGGAAACCTGTTTAATATACAGGTTCCAAAGAGGTAGAAAGGACAGGGAGGGAGTTTTCTCCATCTTACCTGGATCTGTGTCCATCACCATGCCTACCCATTCCTGAGTTGTCAGTTTGCAAATATCCTTGTCCTTCACCATCCAGGAACAGGGAGCTTCTGAGAAAAGTGCACCACAGAATGGCTTCACTCCGATCACACAAGCATAGCCATATAGCTCTCCCCCAGCTAACACATCCAAGATTTTGACTGTGAAATCTATCTGGCATTGAGACTGGCAAAAATGGACACAAGGTAATTTGTATATTGTGTTTTCTATTTTCTTTTTCAAAGAATCACGGTCAACATTTTCTTTAGCACATCCCAGAACTTTCTTACTCTTATCATCCACTCCAATAAAAAGATAGCCTCCTTCAGTGTTTGCAAATGCAGGGATGTACACTGGAATTATGTTTTTCACATATTCTTGAATGTGTTTTGTAGAGAACTGCTTAAACTCTATGAATTGAGACTCGGGAAAAGGCACGATTTCACCGTATTCAAGCTGGTCTTTTTGGAAAACTAGGTAAGTAGGATCCGAGTTATGGAGGTCTTGACGTATAACCTTGACAACTTCACCAAAAGGTTCTTTCCCCAAGACTGTTGCATTTATTTTCTTGGTTTTCAGGAAACGGAATGCCTCTCTTGAATCCATGGGAAGCACACGAGTGCCAGATCTACAGTATAACGAAGAACTCAGGCTGCAAATGCGGGGCTTAAAGGAACTGTCTTCAGGGAAAGTGTCACTGCTCCAAGACTTAACAAAAATGTAATAACACCTCCCTTGTTGCTTAGTCTTGAAGAAATCCTGCAAATTTGAAGGCAGAATAAGTGTTCTCAAAGACTCTTCTAAATCCAGTCCCATCTCCACAGGATGCTCATTGTTGTTTGTCATTTCCAGCTGAATCACTCCTCCTCCTGAGTTTAATAAAGCACATGCAGCTTTTATGACTTTTGCCTTCTCTTGTTCTCTCTGAATTTTCTGCAGCTCCTTTCTGTTTCTCTCACCAAGAGTTACTTTTCCTACATTGATGACCAAGTCTGGGTAAGATGATTCTACCACCAAAGATGAATTATGTTCCTCCATGTTCATTCTGCAATTGAAACCATTAAAATACATATCATGTTGATGAAGAAGTAGATTGCATAGTACACAAAAGTGCATTTATTAATTTATTTTAAAATATTTATTGAGTTCTTGCTAAGTGCTGGGGGCTGGAAATTAAGTGGTAAATAAAAAATAAGCATAGCTCTGACTGTCAGAGCTCACAGTCTGGACAGAAACATTGAATAGAGTAATTGCAGTAATGTGTGATACATACCCTGAAAGGAAGCACCAAACAGCAACAATCGACCTAATATGAACAGGGAAGCATTCCTGGAGGAAAGGGCATTTAAACTAAGATCTTAATTAGCCATGTGAAGGAATCTGAGGTTAGGAGGATTTATTGCATTACAGTCAGAGTGAAAAGTATGTAGGAAGGCGTGAAATCATCAAAGGGATTAGTGTATTGGAGTGGTAGAGAGATGTTCAGTCTGGCCAGACCTTAAGAGTGACAGCGGACCTACACTGTTGGTGGGAATGTGAATTGGTGCAGCCACTTTGGAGAACAGTATGCAGGTTCTTCAATAAACTAAAAATAGAGTTGCCATGTGATCCTGTAATCCCACTCCTGGGCATATATCTGGAGAAAACTATAATTTGAAAATATACGTGCACCCCAATTTTCATTGCAGCACTATTTACAATAGCCGAGGTATGGAAACAACCTAAATGTCCATCGACAGTTGAATGGGTAAAGACGACGTGGTACATATATTCAATGGAATACTACTCAGCCATAAAACAGAATGAAATAATGCCATTTGCAGCAACATGGGTGGACCTAGAGATTATCATACTAAGTGAAGGAAGTCAGACAGAGGACAAATACCGTATGATATCACTTATATGTGGAATCTAAAATATGACACAAATGAACCTACCTACAAAACAGAAACCAATTCACAGACATAGAGAACAGAATTGTGGTTGCTGGGGAGGGGCCGGAGGGAATGGACTGGGAGTTTGGGATTAGTAGATGCAAACTATTACATACAGAATGGATAAACAACAAGGTCCTACTGTATAGCACAGGGAACTATATTCAATATCCTGTGCTAAACCATAATGGAAAAGAACATGAAAAAGAATATATATATGTATAACTGAATCACTTTGCTGTACAGTAGAAATTAACACAACATTGTAAATCAACTATACTTCAATAAAATAATTTTTTTTTTTGCGGTACGCGGGCCTCTCACTGTTGTGGCCTCTCCCGCTGCAGAGCACAGGCTCCAGGTGCGCAGGCTCAGTGGCCATGGCTCACGGGCCCAGCCGCTCCGCGGCATGTGGGATCTTCCCGGACCGGGGCATGAACCCGCGTCCCCTGCATCGGCAGGCGGACTCCCAACCACTGCGCCACCAGGGAAGCCCCAATAAAATACATTTTTTAAAAAAGTTTACACTGAACTAAAAAAAAAGAGTGACACAGGATGGGAGATAGGAAGTGGTGAAAGAGGAGACTTGAAAGTTAGAAAAGGGATGCTGCTTACAACAGTGGAAAGCCAAAGAAGGATTTTAAGGAAGGGAGTGACATGAACACATAGACATTTTATTATTTTATTTATTTATTTGGCTGCATTGGGTCTTTAGTTGTGGCATGCAGGATCTTTCGCTGTGGCATGGGCTCTTTGTTGTGGCACACAGGCTTCTCTCTAGTTGTGGCATGCAGGTTTTCTCTCTCTGGTCATGGCGTGCATGGTCCAGAGTGTGTGGTCTCTGTAGTTTTTGGCACGTGGGCTCTCTCACTGAGGCACGCGAGCTCAGTAACGGCACGTGGGCTTAGTTGCCCAGCGGCATGTGGGATCTTAGTTCTCTGACCAGGGATCGAACCCGCGTCACCTGCATTGGAAGGCGGATTCTCTACCACTGGACCACCAGGGAAATCCCTAGACATTTTAAAAGACACATTAATGATGAAGAACAGATCCATGGTTGCCAAGGGTTATGGGGAGGGAAGGGTGTGACTACAAAGGGATAACGCAAAGGAATTTGTTGAGGTGATGAAACTGTTCTGTTTCCTGATTGTGGTTGTAATTATATGAATCTATTCATGTGTTAAAACTCATAGAGCTGCACACCCAAAAAGTTAATTTTTTGCATGATAAATTATTAAGGGGGGGCACATTATTAATTACAGGTGGAGAACTAATTAGAGAGGAGCAAACCAGTAGGGAGGGTTTTGCAGTAATCCGGGTGAGAGATGATGGTAGCCTGGGCCACAGTTGGGGCCATGGGAATGAAGAGATGTGAGTATATCTGAGAGACATTTAGAAAATAAAATTAACATGGTTCTGTATTGAACAGATAGAGATCAGGAGAAAGGATTAAAATTTAGTAAGTGGGTTTTGGCTTGGGCAACTGGGTGGTTAGTGGTACCACTTATTGGCAAAAGATCAATGATTATTGAAGGTGGGTGATTGATAAATGGAGATTCACTCTCCTATTCTCTCCTTCTCTCTATTTTTGTGCATATTTGAAAAGTTTCCATAATAAGAAGTTTTAAAATTGACTTCACCTATTAACTGGGTGGTGGACATATTGGTGTTCATTATATTGCTCTCTATATTTTTCTGTAAGTTTGAAATTATTCATGACATAAAAAAGAAAACTTTTGCCTCCAAAAAATTTTTAAAGGCGAGTAGGGCATATGAATTTAGATTATTAGTAAGAAAGTGGTTGAACTTTTGGATTTTGCATTCTTAGGTGGATAGGGTGGAAAACAAAGATGGCCAGGGCAGAAGGTGGATCTGAGAAATGGGGAAAAAGAAGGATCAGTGGATTCTAAGATTTTATGATGTCAAAAAAAAACTTGTATTTGGGAGTGATTGAGCAAATCAGTAAAACTCAACAGTACCATAGTGAGGAGAGGGCTCTTAAAACTCTTAGGGATGTGTTGCAACCTACAGTCATTTTTCTCTCTTGCTTGATTATATACTGAAGCATGCCATCGAAACATTTCATTTATTAACTTTTTAGCACAGGAAACATTCAATGAGCGTTCACCGTGGGCACACTAACTGCTGTGAGAGACACAAAGAATCTGACTGCTGGAGATGTATGGTTTAGGGTCCATCAGATTACCATGATATGGCTTAAACGATATGTGGAGAAAAACCCATAGCCCTAATCCCTATATTGGTAAAAGAGAAAAATTTAAACAGAGTGACTCTCATCAACATTGAAAGAACTTAGAAAAAGAACCAGATTGCAAAGGAACACAAAAGAAAAGGAATAATAGATGGAAGGGCAGAAGGAAGTTGGAAAATTAAAAAGGAATTATTTGATTAATTAACAAGATTGAGAGTTTTGTTTTTGTTTGTTTTGCTTTTTGCTTATTTGGTTTTTGTTTTTTAGACAAGCCACTAGCATCTTTATTATTTATTTATTTATTTTAAATTTTATTGGAGTATAGTTGATTTACAATGTTCTGTTAGTTTCAGATGTACAGCAAAGTGATTCAGTTATACATATACATATATTCACTCTTTTTCAGATTCTTTTCCCATATAGTTTATTACAGAATACTGAGCAGAGTTCCCTGTACTATACAGTAGGTCCTGGTTGATTATCTATTTTATATATAGTAGTGTGTGTATGTTAATCCCAAGGTCCTAGCATTTTTATTATTTAAAAAGAACTCTGTACAAACAAAAGGGTTAGATAGGGGAAACTCTTCAGGACCTAGGTCTTGATAAATAGCTCTTAGAGGATACCCAAAGCACAATCTGTAAAAGAAAAACAATCATTAAATTGGACTTCATCAAAAATTTAAAACTTTTGCCATGCGAAACCTCCTATTAAGGAAATGAAAAGACAAGCTACAGACTGGGAGAATACATTTGCAAATCACATACCCGACAAATATCCCAAATCTAGAATATATAAAGAACTCTAAAATTCAGCAAACTAGGAATAGAGGGAAACTTCCTCAACTTGATAAAGAACATTTATTTAAAAGATCTATAGCTAACATCACACTTAATGGTGAGAAACTAGATACTTTCCCACTAAGGTCAGGAACAAGGCAAGCATATCCCCTCTCACCACTCTTATTCAACATAGTACTGGAAGTCCTAGTTAATGCATTAAGACAAGAAAAGGAAATAAGAGGTTTACAGATTGGGAAGGGAAAAGTACAGCTGTCTGCATTCACAGATGACATGATTATCTCTGTAGACAATTCCAAAGAATCAACCAAAAAAAAACCCACAAAAAAACAAACAAAAAAAACCCTTGGAACTAATTAGCAATTATAGCAGGTTGCAGAATACAAGATTAGTATACGAAAGTCAATTGCTTTTTTATATACCAGCAATGAACAACTGGAATTTGAAATTTAAAACATAATGTCACTTACATTAGAACAACAACAACAACAAAGAAATGACATACTTACATATAAATCTAATAAGACATATACAAGTTCTAAGGAGGAAAATGACAAAACTCTATTGAAGGAAATCAAAGGAGAGCTAAAGAAATGAAGAGATAGTCCATGTGCATGGATAAGAAGATTCAATATTGTCAAGAAATCTGTTCTTCCCAATTTGATCTATAGACTCAGTGCAATTCAAATCAAAATCCCAGCAATTATTTTGTGAATATCAACAAACTGATTCTAAGGTTTACATGGAAAGGCAGAAGACCCAGAATAGCCAACACAATATTGAAAGAACAAAGTCAGAAGACTGACCAAACCAACTTCAAGACTTACTATAACGTTGTAGTGATAAAGACAGTGTGATGTTGATGAAATAGATCAGTGGAATAGATAAGACAGCCCAGAAATAGCCTCACACAAATATATTCAACTGATCTTTGACAAAGGGGAAAAGGCAATTCAATGGATAAAGGAGAGTCCTGTCAACAAATGGTGCAGAAAAAAATGGACATCTACATGCAGAACTATGAGTCTAGATACAGACCTATACCTTTCACAAAAATTAACTCAAATGGATAATAGACCCAAATGTAAAATGCAAACC